AGGGAACTCCTAGACGTTGTCATGCATAGGTTTCAACCTAAAAGTCTATCATCAAATCCTTATCAAAGGAAATGAGAGTCCTAAGGGATCATGTCAATGATACACCAAAACAGACAAAAGCATCAGCTTTAACAGTAAAATGCATGCAATGCAAGTGAGGGAGGAAATGTGTGTGGGGCTTCAGCCTCCACAAGCTCATCTCGACCTCAAGCCAGTCATGAAATAACAGTAATCATACTGAAGCGTAAACAACATGCTATCAAGCAATGAACAGATAAAAGAAATGAAGTGCCATCAGGCAAACAAACCACATGCTTGAGAAAGAATCATCTACTCTCTAATCCTAACCCTAACACAGAATCCTGATCAAATCTAAGCAAAGCCCTAAAGCAAAACCCTAAACAGGAGAAACCAATCCCAGTCTTCAAGCTTCAGAACAAGCTTACCAAAGAAAGGGAGCTAAGTAGGCAGACTCATAGTGTCTTCCTCAGGAAAGCACTAGGAGGTGTATACTCAGGAATCATATCCTATGTGGCTCGACCACTGTGATCAGTTTACATTCCTCCTCAGGAGAAACTAAACTCACAAGCAGGCTCCAACATCACTGGATATTTAGGAAATCCTACCCGAACTAGTGGAACTAAGTGAATAGACCCATAGGACCTTCCTCAGGAAAGTACTAGGAGGCTTCCACTTAGGAGTTGTATCCTATGTGGCTCAACAACTGTGATCAGTTTACATTCCTCCTCAGGAGAAATTAAACTCACAAGTTGGCTCCAACATCATTGGATACTTAAGAAATCCTAGATAAACTAATGGAACTAAGTGAATAGACCCATAGGACCTTCCTCAGGAAAGTACTAGGAGGCTTCCACTTAGGAATTGTATCCCATGTGGCTCAACAACATGTGATCAGTTTACATTCCTCCTCAGGAGAAATTAAACTCACAAGTTGGCTCCACTATCATTGGATACTTAAGAAAGAGGTGAGAAGAAAGAATGAAAGTCATTCATAGTGCCTCCCTCAGGAAAGTACCATGAACTTCCTTCAAACTTCAGGATCTCAAACCTCACAGACAGGGAATAATCCCCAAGCTCTGGGTCTCTGAGTCTTGATCTATAATCTTCTCTTCATCATGCTCCTCAACAAGATCTTCAAAACAAACTAAGCCCCACAACAAATTCCCCAAAATAAACCCCAGAGATGAACAGATAACCACAGAACAGACAAAATCATCAGTCAACTTCAGTAAATACCTAAAAATACTAAAACAAGGGGGAACATTCTAACAATTATTCACAAGGGTCTACAACATCTACCCATAACATCCCTATATGCCCCTACCCAAAAAACAAGACAAAACTATCTAAAAAAAATGAATTTCCTTACCTATGCACAACCTAAACCCTAATTATGATAGCCTAATGCTAACCTGGTTAAACTAATCAAATTTTAATCTAAAAATCAAGAATTAAATCCTATGGGGAACTATGATTCAATATCTAATCACACCAAAAAGAATGAATTAAAAATCCTAAGGGAAAGTCTTAAAAGAAATTCTACAAAATTGGATATCAAACTAAACATATTAAAAAGCTATTAAAATGAAAAATATACTAAAAATATGAAAAGAAAATAAAATGGAAATTTTATTTATTTATATTTTTCTAGACAAATTCACTAACCTATAGAAAAAACAAGAATTAAAAAATATTCAATTTTGGATTTTTTATGAATTTTATAAATGCAAGAAATATTAAAGGAATTAAAAAAATAAAAGAATTGAAATAAAGGGGAGGGGGGGTGCTAGAAGCAGGGCACGCTAGTTAAATTTCAGATGGGCTGAATCAGGGGGGGCGTGAATAGCGTTTTTGGGATAAGCCCAATCTCTAATCAGAAAGTTAGAAAACAAAAAACGCGTGGGGGGGTGCATTAAGTAGGGTTTTCCCGTGTTGAACCAAACGGGCCTGATGATGGGTGTGTGGAAAGCAATTCATTGCTGAGCCCATGTTCACTAACTAAACAAAACAACGCGTTTCACTTCTTTTAAAATTCCCTCCGCTTTCATTCAAACAAGGACTGTCGGATGAGATGATTTAGTCAAATTTTAGGGACGATCTGACGGCTGTTGGCCATCGTCCTCACACGATTCCTAGGGTTTTCAGAAGCAGCCTCCATGCAAGAAACTTCCATCATCTCTTGCTCTCTCATCTCTTGATGAAATTCAAAAATTCTAAAAAGGAAAATGGCCTACTCATTACAAGGAACAAAAACTGCACGCGTGATTTTTGTTAATTCTTCCTGGATCATCCTAACAGAAAGCTAGAAGATCTTGGTTCGAAAATATTTCTCTGAGATCAGTCCTAATAAAACTTCAATCTAATGGTGTAAACATGTTCTTGGCTCTATACTAAACATTCTAACCTAGTCTAGACTAACTAACACTCAAGATCCGACCAATTCTTGCAAGCTAAAGATTCATGCACCTGCCATGAAATCTCATACAGAGCTCTCAAACTCACGGGGTAAGATCAACTAGCCTAGTACACTAACTCTACACCTAAAGAACTAATAGAAACTACATAATTAAAGAGATTCGTGGAAAGAAAGAAACCTGTCAAAGTTCAATGGTGTGTGTAGCTAGGGCTTGATTCAGAGCTTGCAAGGGCTTCAATGTGATCCTTTGAAGGTGAATAAACTTCTATTTGCACTGATCGTGAATGAGAAGCCTTGTGGTGGAAGAAATCCCAAGTTGCTTGATCTTGAAGGAAACTCTTCAATGGCAATGTCTCTCTCTCTCTCTCTCCTTTCCACTGAATTCTCTCTTCTTGACCAACCCCTCACTTCACCACAATGCACTCTTTATATAACCATCAATGGAAGCTCCTAGATCCTTCTAGAATGAGCTAGAAAGTGCTTGAAAATCTCATGTGATGATAAGTGGTATATCTCATGTATCATGCCTTATGCCTTGCAAACTTTGTGTCAAATTCTACTTATGTGAGATATTGAGAAGGAATGAGTGAAAATCAAGCTTACCCTTGGCTTATGTTGAGTTTTGCAAAGGTACCTTATAATGCAAGTAACAATATTACAAAGCATGTCCCATTTTAAAGCCTCAAATGAAAATTGTGTTTAAACCAATGTTCTCAAAATGATGTTTCCAATCAAAATGATATATTGGATGACCTATTTTGGATTCATAGATCTTCCAAACCAATTTCCAAATTGACTTGAATTAACTTATAAGCCATTTTTAGTTCAAATTTACCAAACTTTGTCATTCCATGCTATGAGCTTTTCCAACGATTCATGACCTTCTTTCTAGGCTTAAAATGCCATTTTGAACAACTTTAATGTTTTGAGTTTTTCCATTTGAGGCTTGGAAATAGGAGATATGGCCTTTGCTTAAAATGACCTATAATTGCCAAATGACCAAAATACCCCTGTCTTGTTCAAACCATAAATTGAGTTCTACAAATCCTATCAAGGACTTCTACCACTCAAATTAAATCTAAGAAGATGCTCTTCAACATTCATGTTGACCAAGAGATCATAAGAATCATCCTACTAGGGCAAAAGTTGTCTGCAAGTTGGGTGACTTTCAAGGACCTAGATTCACACACCTCTGCTGACCTGTAATTTGTCAAAACCATAACTTGAGCTCTCCAACTCCTATCAAGGACTTCTACCACTCAAATTAAAGCTAAGAACAAGCTCTACAACATTCATGTTGTGGGGAAGATGAGATATCAATCACATCTTGAGCTAAAACTGCCTGGAAGATAGGGATCAAACTAGGGTTTTTTCACTGACAATCCTCAGAAACCCTAACTTGAAACTTCTCAAACTCCTCAATCCTGATGAGTTGGTCTAGGAATCATCTTTATAACATCTCCATGCATCATTCCATGATCTCATGGCCCTTGGATTAGGTCTCAACCTTCTCAAAATCTTCAGTTATCCTAGGGTTGACCCAGTCAAAACCCTAATTCTACCATTCATGGTGAATCTTCTGAATTCTTGCATAATGACCTCTCTGGGATTCATGATGGCTATCAAGACATCTCATAAGCTTTCTCAAAGCTTCAAGTTCATTCTCATAGTCTCAGAATCATCTGAGGAGCTCCCACAACTCTCAAGTTATGAAGCACACATCCTTGATTTCACCCAATTCCTCTGAGGATCTCTTGAGCTTTCTGATGAAGGTATCAACCTTCAAACACTTAATGAGTAAATAATTGTTGGTCAAATTTTTGGGGTGCAACAAGTGGCACCTTCAGATATCCCTCCTCGAACTTGATTGGTTGCTTCGCAGAAAACTTGGTTTTTCGTTTGCTCTGCATGTTGAGTTCTGTGGAGTCATAAAGACCATAAAAACCGCTTTTGAAAACAACTGGGGACATCTTTGGATTGAGAATGATTCTAAGTTTATCTCTTTAGCTTTTAACAAACACAACATTGTGTCTAGGCAACTTAAGAACAGGTGGCTGAACTATAATAAAAAACCCCATAACATGAATTTCATTTTGTCCCATATTTTTAGAGAAAAAAATAATTGTGCATATAAATTAATTTTATTAGGTATTTTCATTCAAGATTTTGTCGAGTGAAATGAAAATCTCTTATCTATTTTTGATAATTTAGTTTACAATAGAGTTGGAAGACCTTACTTTAAATTTTGTTAATATTTTAAGGTTTAATTATCGTCCGCTTCTCTTATATTTTAGTATTTATTATACATACTTTTGTTGTTTAAAAAATATATATATTAGGATTTCCGAACTCTATTGATATTACTTACTTATTTTTAAAAAAAGCTATATCAATGTCATTCTACTAGTTAATAAATTGAGTTGAATTCATTTTAAATATAACAAAAGAAAATCAATTAAAAAAATATTTATTTGATTAAAAAACATTTTTGATGTGTATACCTAAGTCAAAAACCCATCTCACATACGTGAGGCGTTGTTGCGGTGGTGGCGAATGAATTCCGATGAAGCTCCGCCAATTCCGTCGCGCACCCCTTTACTTTTCACTCTCGAACCCTCTCCTTCAAAGAAACTTCTGCACCTCCAAATTCAACGACGAAAACGACACTCGTTTCGTATCACTCATTTCCGACATTGTTCGAGGAAATCAGAGCTGGAATGTGGCATTCAACGACCCTTCAATTTCATCCACATTGAAACCCCATCACGTCGAACGAGTCTTAATCAACACCTTACATGATTCCAAGTTAGCTTTAAGGTTCTTTAACTTTCTCGGTTTACACAAAAACATGAACCATTCCACAACCTCATTTGCCATCTTGGTTCACGCCCTTGTTCAAAATAAGCTTTTTTGGCCTGCGAATTCACTATTGCAAACCCTTCTCCTTCGTGGGTCTGACCCAAAATTTGTTTTTGACAGGTTTCTAGAATCTCACAGACAGTGTAAGTTTTCTTCCACTTTGGGTTTTGATTTTTTGGTTCAGAGTTATTTGCAGAACACAAGAGTTTTTGATGCTGTGTTTGTTTTAAAACTCATGTTAGCTAATACTTTGTTGCCTGAGGTTAGAACATTGAGTACACTCTTGAATGGGTTATTGAGAATTAGAAAATTTATATTGGTTTGGGAACTTTTTGATGAGTCAGTGAAGGCTGGTGTTAAACCTGATCCTTATACTTGCTCTGCCGTAATTCGGAGCTTGTGTGAATTGAAAGATTTTTTTAGAGCTAAGGAAAAGATTCTGTGGATGGAATCTAATAGGTTTGATCTGAGTATTGTGACTTACAATGTCTTAATTCATGGTTTGTGTAAGGGTCATCGGGTTTTGGAAGCTGTCGAGGTTAGAAAATCATTGAGGGAAAAGGGTTTGAAGGAAGATGTGGTTACATATTGTACACTAGTGCTTGGATTTTGTAGGGTTCAACGATTTGAGGATGGAATTTGCCTCATGAATGAAATGATTGAATTAGGGCTTGCACCATCCGAGGCTGCTATATCGGGGTTAGTGGATGGGTTAAGAAAAAAGGGAAAGATTGATAGTGCTTATGATTTGGTTGTTAAGTTAGCAAAATTCGGTTTTTTGCCAAGTTTGTTTGTGTATAATTCGTTATTAAACTCTTTGTGCAAATGTGGAGATTTGAATAAAGCAGAGTTGTTTTATAATAATATGCGTCCGATGAACTTGCCGCCGAATGATGTCACATACTCTATTCTGATTGATTCCTTTTGCAAAAGGGGGAGATTAGATGTTGCAGCGTCTTATTTTGATAGAATGATAGAAGACGGTATAAGAGAATCTGTATATCCCTACAACTCTTTGATACACGGTCAATGCAAGTTTGGGGATTTGAGCGCTGCCGAGTCTTTGTATACCGAGATGATCAACAAAGGGGTAGAACCAACTGCTACTACCTTTGCAACATTAATTAGTGGATATTGCAAAGATCTACAAGTACAAAAAGCATTTAAGCTATATAGTGAGATGAATGAGAAAAAAATTCCTCCAACTGTTTATACTTTCACCGCACTTATTTATGGTCTTTGCAGCACAAATGAGATGGCTGAAGCATCCAAACTTTTTGATGAAATGGTGGAAAGGAAAATCAAGCCAACTGAGGTGACATATAATGTTATGATAGAAGGGTATTGTAAGGCTCGTAACATTGATAAAGCCTTTGAATTGCTGGAAGACATGGTCCGTAAGGGCCTTGTTCCGGATACTTATACATACAGACCTCTTATCACCGGCCTTTGTTCTACTGGTAGGGTTTCTGAAGCTAAAGATTTTATCGATGATCTCCATAAGAAAAATCTCAAGTTAAATGAGATGTGCTATAGCGCGCTTCTACATGGTTATTGCGGGGAAGGAAGACTAACGGAGGCACTGAGTGCTTCTTGTGAGATGATTCAACGAGGAATCAACATGGACCTGGTTTGCCATGGCGTACTTATTGATGGTGCTCTGAAGCAACCAGACATGAAAATGCTATTTAGTCTCTTAAAAAAGATGTACAGTCAAGGATTGAGACCCGATAGTGTAATATATACAAGTATGATCGACGCATACAGCAAAGAAGGATCTTTTAAGAAAGCCGCTGAATGTTGGGATTTAATGGTTACTGAGAAATGTGTTCCTAATGTTGTGACTTATTCGGCTTTCATGAATGGTTTATGCAAAGCCGGTGAAACTGATAGAGCAGGTCTTCTTTTTGAAAAAATGCTGGCTGCAAATATCCATCCTAATTCAATTTCATATGGTTGTTTTCTTGACCGTCTCACAGAGGAGGGAAATATGAAGGAAGCTACAGAACTTCACCGTGCAATGCTTAAAGGGCTTTTAGCAAACACTGCAACGTACAACATTCTTATTCGGGGCTTCTGCAAATTGGGTAGATTAACCGAAGCCTCTGAAATTCTTTCTGAAATGACTGAAAATGGGATTTGCCCTGATTGTATAACCTATTCAAATTTAATTTATGAGTATTGCAGATGCGGTGATGTCGGAGCAGCAGTTAAATTGTGGGATACCATGTTGAAAAAAGGCGTTGAGCCAGATTTGGTTGCATTTAACTTGCTGATATATGGTTGCTGTGTCAATGGAGAGCTCAACAAGGCATTTGAATTGCGTGATGACATGTTGAGGAGAGGGTTGAAGCCAAGACAAAATTTACAATTGCCGAATGGGTAAAATAGGAACCGCAGTTGAGGTGTGGTGTAACATGCTCAAAAGAATGTCGATAGCATGATTTGGATGTGGGCGACTTTTTTAATCGTGCCTGTTGTGTGACTGGGGAGGTTAACAAGGGACTTCAGTTGCACAATGGCATGTTAAGAAGATCAGTGAAGCGAAGATAGAATCTCTTGTGGCTAAACTATCTGAAAATGAGGTTGATGACTGAAGTTGAAGGTGGCTTCTGCAGCCTGGAAATGCGGAAGTGTTTGTATTTGCAATCCGTACGGGATGGTGTCGTATCCAAACCAGACGAGTTCCGGAAAAGGTTAGTATTTGCATATTGGATAGAATGTTCTTTTAGTTTTAATAACAACAACAATTGCTGCATATGTTACCATTAGGAACGTGACTCCTCTAAAGTGGATGAAATAAGAAGTTATAATGTTTGATTAGATAATCAAAAGTTGAGATTGCAATACAATATACATGCTTGTATTACATACTAAGAAGTTGTTTATATCCTTTCTTTAGATATCCTTTCTATAGAGCAGCCATGTTCTGCACCTAGTTCCTTTACCTTGTATATGATGTATATACACTTTTCTCTGCAGAGGTGAATGAGAGCAATGCCAAAAGGAGAATTGAAAAGCAACAATTCAAATTGAAATGGAAACAGAACAATGAATGTTACAGAGAGGAAACCAAGGTTCAAGCTGCTGACACTTCACGAAATTTTATAAAACTGGAAATTTCTATTAAAACCTTTTGCAAGGCTTAACTTGTTTGTTGAAAAATCTTATGTTTAGGGTACTGCTATATTTTAAATTTTCTTGCAACTTAAAGATACTATAAAAATTCAATTGCAAATCAGTAATTCTTTTGTCAATATTGGTGCTTGCGGAGTGCTGTGAAAGTATACTGTTTGAGGCAATTGATACAAGTATTGTTTAGTTGTTTGGATGTGAAGACTGCAAAGTGGGATTATTATGTAGTAATCTGGGTGTTCAAAAAAACCGGTTTTTCTTAACTGACCCAGAACTAGACTGTCCCATTTTAAAAGTTCAATCCATTTGTAAAAAAAATCAAATTGGATCTAAATAAGCCTTAAAACCAAATAACCGGACCACCATTTTCAGAAGTGGTTTACAAACCGGTTACCATTCTCCTTTAATGAATCAACAACTCAAACATCACACACTGTAAATTCTTAATCCATTTTTCAAATGCTTTTTTTTTATGAATCAGTTTGCAACCTACAAAATTCTCTCAAAATCTCTATAATTAATTTTACTTAAATCAGTTCAAATGTGTTTGTCAAGTGTTGTTTTTGAATCGTGAATCATTTGCTTTTTGCCTCTGAAATTACTTCTGTTTTTGAATTGTTGTGTGAATACCACTGACTATTGTTAGATGAATTCAATGATAGCACTATTAAAAATCATTGTTGTTGTGTTAACGAAATCAACGACGTTAATCCGACGGGGTCCGTGAATTGGCGACTTTCAATGATGATGCCTCAGAAATATAGTGGGTATTAGGGGCGTTCATTGGGGCTAACTGAATCGGTGGCATTCAGCGACGAAGCTACAAACACAATAACATTCAGCGGCGGTGATAACGGAACTCACGACATTCACAGCTGTGCTTCAAAAACAGTGTTGTTGTTCATTATCGAATGAAATTGTTGATTGAAAATTGGATTTTATTAAAAATGATTTTAAACTGAATTCAAACCGGTTTGGGTCCATTTCACAACCATGGTTTTTTGAAATAATTGTTTGGTTTTTAAAACTTTAACAAAAAAAAAAATGGTTTGGTTTCAATGAACCGGTTACCATGCACTTTTGGAATAATTGTTTGGTTTTTAAACTTTAACAAAAAAAAAAATGGTTTGGTTTCAATGAACCGGTTACCATGCACAATCCTAGGAATCATAATTTTCTTTATTTTTTGTTTAAAAAAAAAATGGTTTGGTTTCAATGAACGCGTTACCATGCACAATCCTAGTAATTATAATTTCTTTATTTTTGTTTTACAGTTAAGTGGTGTACGGGTTTGCTTGTGTTATGGTGCATATTTTAATTGAGGATTTCTTAATGCACCTTAGGATTACTTACACGTAAAAATACAATAATATTCTTTATATTTGGATATTCATCTCCGGACGCACGTCAAACACACACAATTTATCCGTTTTTGAGACATTGACTAAATTTATTCCAGAAATGCGTATGCTAGCTACACCTCCTCTGACTCTTCTGACTCCTTGACCTTTAATATCTCGGTCCTCCAGCGTTGTCTTCGATACATCAATGTCTCTCATGCCTCTATTATGATGACATTTAGGATCTGCCTCACAATAGATCACCTCACAATAGATCCACCCGAAAGATACATCTGTTAATATCTGTCTGCACAATCTCCATAAACGACGACATCTAGGCAAGACCTCATGAGCATGATCTAATCGTGTCTGCTCCTTCTCTATTATCTCTTGATGAGCTGACCTCAGTGGATTTCATGGAGTAACACACACTATATACGAATGTGACACCTTGAAGAAACACCTTGAAGAATCACCTGATGTACTCGTCAACGTAACTTCAGTGTTGGATGATGTTTCTGATGTTCTTGATGTTGATTGAAGATCCTTTGAACTTGGTTTTTTGTTTTGGACTTGGTTGTTAGAAAACATTTTGAAGGTTTGATAAAGTTTTGAGTTTGTCTTTTTAAAAATGAGGAAGAAGAAGGGTTCTGACGCGATTTAAGTTATTTGAGAATAACAAATCCATTATGAGTATAAATTGTAGTGGGTATTCATGAGCATAGGAAGATGAAGGAGAAAATGTTATGGTTTTACAATTGGTGTAAGTAGAATCTAGACTCTGATTGAAATTTATTTGAGCATAAATGGTACATAATCAAGAAACAAAGTTGAAACCGTGGAAGGTGATAAAAACACACAATGAGCCAAAGTTAAAGGAGGTGAACTTCATTGTTGAACGAAAAACCAAAAGGTTATATAAAAGTAGAATCCAACTCTAAAGAGATTGATGATAAATTGATACAAACAGATACCAAAAACTAGGAATAAGAGCAATGTTTAATGGAAGAATGAATGAGATGCAAGAAGAAAAGAGCATGCGTTTGTTTTGAGCCACTGGGCGCTGACATTTAAGTGGTGGCTAGTGAGATTCAAATAATCCAAGCGATTATCGTTGAACTTCGGCCTCCAGTAGAACTACCAAATGCAGATTTGTATACACAAATCTCTTCAAGCTCTGGTCTGTAAGAAATAAAGATAAGGCGTTTGTTCTCAAGTCACCGTTGGAGCCATCAGACACCACTCTTTTGTAATGGTCGTGGAAATCAAGCACACCGACTCTGTGATGAATAGAAAGAATAAAATCACCCATATTTTGGTTGCTCTTACACCACCAATAGAACCACTAGAGAAAAACGTACATGTGGTAATAGATCGAAACTCGCATGTGTCTACAGTAGAGAAGCAAGTTGTGGAGGTTTGGCCATCATTACACTACCACCAAAACCACTATACACAAGTTCACGAGGTGTGTATTCTCCGCAGTCGTCGACAACCAACTTCTTTACAACAAAGAAGAATTTCAAAATTTTAGACAATCAATTAATGACCCAGATGTTCCTCACTTATCAAAAAATGAGGACGAGAGTAAGGTGTAAGCTAAACATTATTCCTTCCGTCTCAAAGTATAAGACGTTTTGAGCATTTCACGCGAATTAAAAAACTTAATTATTACTTTGTAAAAAAGACAAATTATATATGACTTTACAGTAATGTCCGTCATAATTACACAGGAGAGAAAAATTAAAAGAGTTGAATAAATAATAATAAATACTTGAAAGTATATTGAAAAAAATGTGATTAATATTATATTTAAAATGTAAGATAATTTATAATTTAGAATAATTTTTTTTTTTACAAAGTAACTTATAATTTAAAACAGATGAAGTATTATATAATAAGTGAAATAAGTGTGCTTTATCATCTTCCATTTATTGTCTAATTATATAATATAATGAAAGTGTTCAAGTGCAACAAATGTGCTGGTTATCCTCTTTCATTTATTGTCTACATTATAGAATATAATTAAAGTCTTCCGTTCAGGAGCCAGAAATGGGCACAGTTGAATAATTAATGATCTTGAACAGTGATGTTGATCTTCTTTACAGCGGCACGAAGTAGATTTGTATGGTTAGCATTTCAACATTCAAGTCGGTTCAAGATTCAAAATGAGTATAGTGATAAATTAAGATAAGATTATGACTCTGTTTGATAAAATTAGCTTATAGCTGGTAGCTGATGGTTGATAGCTGGTAAGTTAATTTAAATGTTTGATAAATTAGTTGTTACACTAACGAATAATTACAAAAATGATTTAAAAGGACAATTTTAATTAAAAAATTGGTGATTTCATTATCTTATTAAATTATATTATTGAATTAATTTTTATTCGATAAAAATAAATGTATTAATAACAACATGCAAAACAATTATATATATATATATATATATATATATATATATATATATATATATATATATATATATATATATATATATATATATATATATATATATATATATATATATATATATATATATATATATATATATATATATATATATATATATATATATATATATATATATATATATATATATATATATATATATATATATATATATATATATATATATATATATATATATATATATATATATATATATATATATATATATATATATATATATATATATATAATAATTGAAGATATCATCAAAATATATAAATTTGTATATAAGTTTTATGAGCTTTGCTATTTCATAAGATCATTTATGAGGACATAAAAGTAAAAGTAATCTTAATAACTACAATTTTTGGTTTGATTAACTCATTCTTTCGTAAAATATAATTTTTTTCTCTAATTTTATAGTGAAATTTAATAAAATATGTGAAATAATAATATTGTAATTTTAAATTTAGTTATATTAAAAATAAATTTATTGTCTAATATTTTACAAATTGCTTTCATTGATTCTTGATCGTACCTGACCAGAAGGGATCGATGGCCTGTCACGCGTCGTCGATCTGGACGCTGCTCACCAAGGTGTGGAAGAGGAGGGGGTGTATATGAAACACACTCCGATGCCAAAGTAAGTGATGGGTATAGTGGAAACAAGTATAGAGAGAGTAAGAAGATTAAGTTACCTGACCCTCTAGTGAAGAGGGTAGTTATAGTAAGCCCCCAGCGCAGGACCAACGATTATCTAGCATTGGGCTGGGCTGCCAGGCCCAATGTTAGTAACTGCTAAGACTGACGTGGCGCCGTGAAGACTAGTATGTGGTCTTCGCCCTAGGGTAACTGTTCCGTACTATCCGGGAGGTGGAAGACAGAATCTCCAGGACGTGGGTAGTTACTTCATGACGTGTCCCTGCGTGAGGGGCACATGGAGGACGTGGAGGAAGGCCCGAGGAGCTCCCCGGACAGACGGAGGCGGGCTAGTTGGATGCGAGGGTCCTGCCCGACGATGGGGAAGAAGGAGGCTGGCTGGTTGGACGCAAGGATCCTGCCCTCTCATGTTGGTCTGTGCCCGACGGGGAGGAAGGTTATGCTCAGCGGGTCTTCTGCTCAATGAAAGATAGGACAAAGGCTAGGTAGTTGGCAACGAGGGTACTGCCCGACAGCTGAAGGCCTTTGCCTGACATGGGAGGAATGTTGTGCCCGACAGGTCCC